TAACCAGTTTTTTGAGCCTCATGCAGATGGAAAACCTGGTCTGACCAATCTTTCATGCCCTATGTAAATCAGACACCACCTCCTCAAACTCAACTATAAAACCCGTTTTATTTCGTTACAGACTGGAAAACCTGCTTGGGACCTCTCTCTCTGTAGGAGAGAGTGTTTCTCTTTCTTTTGCCTATTGAAGCTCCGCTCTTAACCTCACTCCCGGTGTGTCCATTTCCTTGATTTCCTTGGCATGAGACAATGAACATTGGCATCACCTCCCAGACAAACAGTGCCATCTCAAAATCTTAGCCATAATGCCCCTTTGAAGATTACATGTAATGCTATACAACACTGTGATTCAAAAAGAATACCAGAGGTCATTATAGGCATGCTTAAAATATTTTTTTGAAAGTAAAAATGATAGGAACAGTAAGACAGTCTAGAGCAGAAGCTGAAGTGGAGTATAGTCTCTTTTTCTTACTTATTATGAATATGTAAGAATTTTATAACACTGAATGCCTTGTGTGGTTTCTAAACATATCTTAAATGGAGAATGGCTCTCCAGCATTCATTCAACAAGTACTTATTTGGTATCTACCTTTTAGCTATTGAGAAAAGAACAATAAATATAATAGACAAGGGCCCTGGGGTGTATACTTGGGAAACTGTAGCCTAATAAGAGAAAGGGATGTTAAAAGATAATTATACAAATAAACATATACTCACTATCATGGGAGTCCTATTGTGGAAAAGCACAGGATACCATGATAACAATTAGCAGAGATATCAAATAATATATCAAGAGTGAGGGTGTCTGTTAGGGCATCCCCAGAGTACTAGCATTTACGGTAAGAACAGCTATAATCAAGAAATTGAGAGAAGCCTAAAATGACCTTCGATTTCGCTATTTCTTTTTTCTGTGGTATACAGTGTGATGTTAATCCATCTAATAAAAATTTCAATTCTGTGATTTCCATTGTTCCATTTTTATAGTTTCAACTATCTTTTGAAACACCCCATCTCTTCATACACTGTATCAATTTTTTCTATTGACTTTATTTTAAACCTTTTATCTGGAAATTATTATAGATTTCCAAAAAGTTGTGAAGATGACACAGAGCGGCCCCATGTACCCCTCACCCAGGTTCTCCCATTGATTATATCTTACATAACTATGATATAATATCAAAACCAGGAAAGTGACATGGGCATAAAGTGTGTATGGTTCTGTGTAATTTTACTGCATATGTAAATTCATGTAATAAGCATTCCAATTAAGATACAGAACTCTTCCATTATTGCAAAGATCTCCCTCACACTATTTCTTTTTAATCAGTCACACCCATCCCCACCATCACCAACTCCTGGCAACCACTAATCTGTTCTCCATCTCTATAATTTTGTTATTTCAATAGTACTATATAAATGGAATAATACAGTAAAGCTGGTTTTTTTTTTCACTCAACATAACGCCCTTGAAAGACATCCAAGTTTCTGCATGTATCAAGAGTTCATTTCTTTTTTTATTGGAATAGTACTCACAGTATGAATATATCACTATTTGTTTAACCATTAATCTATTGTAGGATATTTTGGTTGTTTCCAGTTTTGGGCTATTTCTTATGAACTTTTAAATACATTAATTGTAGTTGTTTTTACTAATTATCTTTTAGGACAACATTGGAGACTTTTACAGGTATGTTTTTATTGACAAATTTTTTTTCTTGATGACCCCATTTTCTTATTTCTTCTCATGTCTAGTAATTTTTTACTATATATTAGATATTTTAAACAATGCACCATAGAGACTCTAGGTTCTGCTGTCTTTCCCAAAGAATGTTGAGTTGGGTTTGGTAGGCAGGTATATGACTCACATATCACCCAGACTATGTGGAGACAGTTTTTTGTGTTATTAGGGTGAGCCTATTTTAGTTTTTCCCTTAACCCAAGGGGAAAGCCTTACTCTTGTGACTTAGCCTTTACTCCTTAAGGTATGAGTCTTTTGAGATTTTTAAAGAAAGCCTAATGTTCTTACCACCTCCACACTCCCCAATAGGCTAGACTCAAACTCTAAACTCTGACTTTTATATGGTGGACAGCAAGTAAAATCTCTGTTCATTTTTCTTTCCCCCAGCTTCTAGCTATTTTTTCTTTCTGAGCTCCTTGGTGTTTAACATGTTCATTTGTAACTCAGGGATCAACCTGGGGAAGTTTACACTCAGATGATGAGTTTCTGCTTTGGCTTCCTTCTGAAATTTCCAGGAACTCTGGAAGAATCAAACTCCATGATCTGACTCCTCAGGCCAATGCAACTGCAGTTTCCGCTGAAGTTTTGTGGGCCTGACATCCCTCAGACTGGGACATGGCTTCAGGGGAAAAGCTGCATAAACATGGATTTCACACAGTGTGGTTTCTTTCCTTGGAAGGTTGATTCTCTTTCAGTTTTTGCTTGTTTTGTTACTCTTCCATGTCTTAAAGCAGATTTTTAAAAATGTGTTTACAGTTTATTATTTCTATCAATAGGAGGATTAGCCTGATACAAAGTACTCTGTCTTGTTTTAATATGATTTGTTCTTGAATTTTGTTGTAATTATGTCTATTTTTGTGTGGAAATTGTTTGTGAAGTTCCTAGGCTAACTTTCCATGAATAAAAACATATTTTAAAAAAATCTCCTTTAAGCGTTATCTCCTGACAATTCAGTAATTTCTCAATTCTTTCTCCTTTACTTCAAAACTTAAAAAGTCAGTTTACCAAAAATAAAAGTTTACTGATTTGAGAGCAAGGAATTCTTACAGCATTTAAGCCAGTGTTACTCAAACAGCCTGCTTATGAAATAAAGGTCAGTCCAATGCGAACATGTTACGTATTTATTAGCCCATCACAAAGTCCTGTTTCAATTTAATTACTCTCTCTAGAGAATATTGCTTTTTACCAACGGAAAGGCCCTGCTTTCTTCATTATGCTTTCCTAAATTCTACTTATCTTTGAGTATCCATCCATTTCATGTCTTCTGAATTTTCCCACCACTAAACCTATTCCACTTTCTTTAGGTAGGGTTTTCCCTCATGACTTATAAATTAACACACATTCCAAGTTGTGCAGAGGATAAACTAGTATGTTTGGAAGGCAACTAAGATGAGAATGGGAATGGAAAAGAGGTGGCCTCCCAAAAACCTTTTGAAGCTGGTATGGTTACAATCAGACCGTGGGAAGCTACTTCTTTTCAGGAATAAACCTGAAACTAACTGTCTTGTCTCATTTTACAGTCACCTCATGTGAGTATAACCTTCTTTCACCATAAGATGAGAAGATTCTTGAGGGCAAATTATCATGTCTACTTCTCTCCCCTTAGCCTAGCACTGAACATAGTGCCTCATATAAAGGTAGAAGTTTAAGTGATGCATTCCTTTGAATTTTAACCACTTGGCTGAATCTCTAAGTTTTCTTTGCTAATTTTTCAAACAGTGTTTGTCGAAACTTTTGTCCTACTAAAAAGTATAACGATACAGTCTGAAAACTTATAATTTGACCTCGGCTTAATGATCGAACCACATTTCATACGACTCTGCTTTCTCCGTCACTACTCTGCTCTTGCTCTATTGGTCTTCTCTCAGTTCTTAAACACACAGGAGTTCCTGCCTCAGAGCCTACACACTTGCTGTTTCCTTTGCCTAGAACGGACAATACATATTAGCTACTTCTCGTCACGTAGGTCTCAGATCAAATGGTAATTCCACAGAGAAGTCTTACCAAAGTGTCCTGCTCCATTAAATCTGACCCAAATAGTCTCTTGTGCCAGTACTCCATTTTCCTTTTTTTTTTTTCATTTTATTATTATTATTTTGAGACAAGGTCTCACTCTGTCACCCAGGCTGGTATGCGGTGATTCAATCTCTGCTCACTGCAACTTTGCCTTCTGGGTTCAAGCCATCCTTCCATCTCAGCCTCAAGTAGCTAAAACTAGAGACAAACACCACAATGCCTAGCTAATTTATATATTTTTTTGTGGAGACAAGGTTTTGCCATATTTCCCAGGCTGATCTCAAACTCCTAGGCTCAAGCTATCCACCTGCCTCAGCCTCCCAAAGCTCTGGGATTACAGACATGAGTCACTGTTTTACTTTCTTTTTAGCACTTACTAGTACCTAAAATTATCCTTTTAATATTTGTTTGTGTTTGTTGCCTGTCTTCTCATGTTTGAACCTAAGCTACATGACGCTGAGGAATTTTGTCTCGTTCACATCAGCATCTCAAATGCCTAGAACAGTGCCTACATCAACAAATACTTGAGTTGTCACCCTGTGTGCTGTCTTAAAACAATTTGTGGTAGATACACACATTTCCATGTACTTAACGGTATATTGATTTCAGTGAAAATGGCTCAGAGGTAGAGGCTACAGAGATGTTCTAAAAAACTGAGCAGATCATTGATGTAAATTTAGTTCTATCCAATGAGACCACAGGTTATAAAATGTACCAATGAAAAAAACTCAGTTCTTATAACAACTCTGGGAGGTAGATATACTATCATAATCTCCATTTTATGGGTGGGGACACTGAAAGAAAAGGTTAGATAAAGACTTAAATAGGTTGATTTGGCTGAAGCTGCAAAGTTAGTAGGTGAAAATCAAAACCAGGCAATTTAATTTCAGTCTATGGTTATAACCACTGTGCTACATCACCTTATCTGCATTTAGCAGTGCAGAGTACATTCTCTCATTTACTTACCATGCAAATCTAACATTATTATTTTACATATATTTTTACAACTAGTTTAGAATAAATTATAATGGACTTGGGGTTGAGTTCCAGGGTATATTATTAATCAATATAACCCTCAATCTAACTTCTTCATTCCTCAGTCCCCGAATATGTACAATGAAGGCTTGGTTGAGTGTTATTAAAGATCAAATAATATTATATTAATTGTTTTTAAGTTATGAGAACCCGGGCATCATGCTGCTGATAAATTTACCAAGAATGTTTTTAGGAATATTTAATGTCTTACCTGGACTTTATTCATCTCCAGTTTGTTCTTCTCATTGGCACTCTGGTCTTGTTTGCCAGCTCCCTTTTTCTGAGGGCCCTTCCCAAAGAAGATGTAATTTACAAAGGCATACTCCAGCAGAGCCAGGAACACAAACACAAAGCAACCCATCAGATAAATATCAATCGCTTTGACATAAGGTATCTTTGGCAGGGTCTCCCTGAGGTGGGTGCTGATGGTTGTCATTGTAAGCACTGTTGTGATTCCTGTGAAAGAGAAAGACAATGCTTAGTTGAGGGCACCACTATTGAGTTCCTTTTTCAAGATTGGGAGGGCAGATACCATTTCCTCATTGGTGTCCCTGAGTGATCACAGTAGCATGATAAACCACTGGGCAAAAAGGGCAGATATTTTGAAAGACAAGGCATTAGCCTCCCTCTATAGTCCTGTAGTGAATCATAAAATAGAACGTGTAGTTAATGAAGGGTTGAAAACATCTTTTTTTAATTGCACAAAATAGAAAAGCAGATGGAAAAGCAGATCAAAATCCCGTTGAAATCCTACTGTTGAATGTCTCTCACTTTGTTACGTGGCCACATCTTCTTCCTTTTCATAGCATCTCATTCATTGTGCTCCTAAATCTGTCTTTGTGACACTAATCCCTATAGCAGCTCTTCCAAATTGAAAGCTGGTGACTAGTTTGAGATCTACTTCATTCCATGAATATACAGGATACCCAAGTTCAGTATTGCATTTTAAAATAATTGTCATTCATAGCAGGACATCACCAAAAGAAGAAACATGAGAAGTTGCATAATTTGTGTCAAGTACTTGATATATATATATATTTTACATTTATTCTAGTCTTGTTGCTTCGTTATTTCAAATATTCTCTATTTTCTTGGTTCTAGAACCTAGGATGAATTAGTTCCCTGATGTCAGAAAACAACTTATTAAAAAATTGATCTTGGATTTGTTAAAGAAGTTTAAGACTACAAGCTCACAAAAGGCAGATTTTGTTTTATTTACTTTGTTAAATGTAGCATTCTTAATAGTATAATATTTGTGTGGCTGTATTGTAAATATTTTGTGTTGCTGATGGTGATGATGAAGTTATAATTGTGAAAAGCAAGAGTGAAGGAGAAGTTGGAATCTAGTGTGGATATTTGTGCTGCAATACTAATATTATACATTTGTATGGTGGTGTACAGTTTTAACACTTGCAATTATAAATTATCCTTATATGGCTGTCATAAAAACCTGAAAATGATAGGGAGTGTATATTATTCTCATTATATAACTGGGTAAACAAATTCTGAGATTACTTATTTTGTTTTAGGTTATCCAGCTAGGGTCAAAAAAGCACGGTGATGTTCCACAATAGCATTTAAAATAAGCAACGAGATGAAAAGGCAAAATCTAAAATTGGATAGCAACTCTTAAAAATAAAGTCAGAAAGTGTGAAATGGATAGTAAAGACAAAGGTAAACTTCCAAAGGGAATGGAAGGTAGCAAACTCAAACGAGGGAAGAAATAGTTTTGCATTCATTTGCCAATCGGATTATTCTAGATGTATATTCCCAGTTTTGACTATTCAACTTTTAGAAGAGCAGATAAAGTAGGAGGTCAGGACTACCATACAAAAAATTAAAGTGGTTCAGATCAGTAATAAATTCTACTGTGCGGGACTGACATAAAATGACATAATGAGTGATCTTTCTTACCTCTTTGAAAAAAACCTTTAAATTTCACCTAATATAACTTTAGCTAATGTGCTTCACAGAAATGAATGAGTCACTTACAAAATCACCAATTGCATTTCTTTTTCTACTCCTTGTTTTACATTTTTAAGCAAAAAGTGTTAGTAAATGAATGCCATTTTAAATTACATGTGTTTTAAAATATCTCAGGCTTTACAGTCCAAAGAATAGCTTAAACAAGCACCTTTATATGCTGACATCTTTAATATCTCCAATCAAAATAGTGTTAGCTTTGAGGATAGAAGAGTAAAGAGAACCACAATTCATAAACTTACTAATTATTATTCTCTGTTGTGGACATCATCCACTGTTTTTTCTTAAGTGTAGCATATAGACATAACAACATTCATGTTCAAGTAATATGTGCAGATACATATGTATGATGCTATTATTTGTTTGCTTTATTTAATCTTAGACTGTTCAAAGATTGATAAGGGGCTGAAAACACATTCTAACCTTCCAAGGAATCCTTAAAGTCTCAAATATAGCCTTTCCGCTTTCAGCAATTACTTAACGATGGCAGGATTAGTTCTAAATTTTGTTCCCCCAAGAAGGAAATCATTTTTATTCTGTCTTGATCATAGATTATGAATATAGCTGATGAATTGTCTGTGCCTTATTCAAGTGTAATAAGCTCCATTTAAAGGAGACTCAGTTTGATACAATTTAATTTTAGTTAGTATTTAAAGGATAGTATTTATCAGCAACTGACAGCTTGTTATTAGTCACAAGGTTTAGCATTCCCTAAATTCATTTGAAAATAGTGCATTGTATATGTTCTTCACTTTTAAAAGCACGGATTAAAGGGAGACTCATCCCAAAGTTAGCAAAAATTAGTGTATTGAGAATTTAAAAATTTATTCCATGAGACACTTAAGTAGTGCTAGACATATTCCAAGATTTTTGTTTGTTTTGGTAAGTTGCTAAAAAGACAGTACATTATAGAATAGTCATTGTAGGTATGCGTACACTTAGATGTTTTATATTCAGAGACTCTTACGGTAATCTAATTCTTTGGCTTGCTGTAAGAGAGCCCTTGCTTATAATTCCTGATATTGGTTATTTGTTTGAAAGTAAAACCTGTTAGCTCTCTGCAGTGCTCCAAATAGATTACCTAGTGCCACTCTGGCTGCAGATGCATCATAGTTGATCCAAAAAGACACCCAGGACAGAATTGTAATCAGTGTAGAAGGCATGTAGGTTTGCAAAATGAAGTAACCAATGTTTCTCTTTAGGCGAAAACTTAGTGACAGTCGTGGATATGCTCCTGAGTTGAAAAACAAAAGACAAGTAATCAGACCATCATTTGGTTGGAATCGCCTTCTTCCTTTCACAGCAACCCTAGTCCATTTTGGGGGAAACATCCTCACCTGTTGTGAACTCCACCTTCTTAGACACCATCTTGTAGTCAACAATAGAAAACTGAGGAAGCTCAATTTTATTAACACCAGTTACTGCCCCCTCTCCTCCATTCCAGTAAAACTCAATGTCATCAGTGGTATAGCCATCTGAAACCAAGAAACACAGCATGGTTAAATACAGTTCAGGAAATCATTTTGAAGACCACCTGGGAGCTAGAGGAAAAATTCCCAGCAAAAGAGTGGTAAGGTGGCATTGCTTTAAATTAGGGTGGTATGCAGGTCTCACGTGGAGTGCTATTTTGATGATTTGGTAGTAGCTGCATTGAGAAAATGGATGCGTCTGGCTTTAGCGGACATAAGCTCTGGTTCATTTAGTGATATCTGATGTTGCTGCTGCAAATTTATTCTTTTGGTATCTACTAATGTGGATTCCTTGGCTAAATTGGAGGATGGCTGAATTCTAGGTGCCTGGACATGGCTTTGGCTATGTGCTATTTAACAACAACAATAACACAACAAGTAATAATAATCGGGCACATACTTGTTAAGAGGATAACAGAAAGTGTAAAGAAATAAAGTGTAATGAAAGATCAAGTTTATATATAGTCATTACATGATTAAGACATTAAAAAAATCTCTTTCTTTTAGAAAATTTGTCAAGCTTCTATTCATATCCTTTGATTATAGCTAATATTATTATAGCTAATATATGGGTAAAAGTCTTAGGACTATATAAATTCTTGATAATGCTTTTTATATCTTTACATTTATGAGAATGAGCTTTAGTTAATTTAGGGGAGTGTTTAGGGAACTGTAGATTGTAATAGAAGGCTCTGGCGTCAGGTCTTGAGTATGAGGGCCCTGTGTTGATGGCCTAATCTCTTCCTCTTTCCACTCTGCTCCTACCTGGCAGTGGTCTAGCTGGTGGTCTTATCATTATGTATAAGAGTAACTTGCATAAAAGGAATGCACGGATATATTTAAAAATCTAAAAATAATTTAAGACATATTTTCATATCATATTTTTTCTTTCTACAAGCTACAGACAAAGATCTTTCCAAATTCGTTTTCTATTTATGTTCACCTCAAATAAAAATGCATAAAATCTTTTTTCCATTAGAATTGCTAGGGCTAGTGTTTCAAAGGTAACTGTATAAAGCTCTTTGTAGTGGACATCATGCTGACCTACTTCTGATTAAAGCCAGTCATGCCTTTTCAAGAGATAAAAGGTAATATATTTGATATTTAGAAGTTTAATGCCAGGTGCCAAAGGGTCAACTTGTCCTTGCAAGAATGTAAGACATTTTAAGCTATTCTTCCTCACTCCCCTCCCCACTTTTAAAAAGGAAAACAAAGCTGTCTTAACTTTACTGCTTTAAACTTTTTTAACTTTTCTTCGGAAAGTTCTATTTTGAATTCTTATTCCTGAACTCATTAAACTCACAACTGTTTTATATTTGTTACCATTTGCCGCTCTATGAGGTTATTGTTTATTGTAATATGCTTCAGTTTATTTTATTTCTCTTTCAATCATCTCCTTCTAGGTCTAGGAACTTGCCCTCTTTCCAAAGGGCAATCTTCCATATCCAGTAAGCCTTTCTGCAATGACCCAAGTGTAGACACAGAAATAGAAGAGAATTACTTCCAGATATAATCACCAGTGTCTGAAAGATGGATGCTTTCTTTTCTATTGGACTTAGAATAAACTACATGGAACTAATTGACATATTGGGGATTTAAACCAAGTTTGGGTGTGATTCTGTAATATTGATTCTAAACATCTCTGAGAAATTGATAAAAACCTGTCAATAAAATCCACAGAAAAATATAGATAGATAGACAGATTGATTGATTGATTGATAGATAGAAATCAGTGACAATTTCAGGAGATCATGGATCCCATTCATGGATTCTAGAATACTAGAATATGAAACTCCTTTTTCTAAGTTGAAATGGTTAGTGGCAATATGACAGCTAAGGTTCAACCAAGATTCCTCCTTTCCAATTTCAATTCAACCAATTTCAATTCTCCTAAGCCCAGCAGGAAGTAGTATCTGGGGAATTTGAGTTCTCTGCCCTGTCTGGATGCAGTGGACAATGGCATCATGGGATTTTTCCCCCTTAGCTGCTGCAGAGAACCTAGGGACTGGTAGCATGGAGTCCTTGGGTGGGAATTAGAACAGTGGGATCAAAGAATATAGCTGGGTGCAGGGGCTCTTGAGCCTACTAAAGAAGGAAGCGTGTTAGCACCTGTGTGACTGGAGGAACTTCTGTCATTTCGGTGCTTTAAGGGGATGTGGGAAAGTTAAAAAGGTGGGCTGGAAAATCACCATAGCGTTTTCCATAGATGTTGTGCTAATTTACACTCCCACCAACAGAGCATAAACGTTTTCTTTCCACAACTTCTATTGTTTTTTGACTTTTTAAAAATACAATTCGATTTAGCAATCCCACTACTGGGTATCTACTAAAAGGAAAAGAAGTCACTATATAAGAAAGACTGCATGCATACGTTTATCACAACACAATTTACAATTGCAAATATATGGAGCCAACCTAAGTGTCCACCAACTGATGAGTGTATAAGAAAAATGTGGCATATATACACTGTGGAATACTGCTCAGCCATAAACAAGAACAAAATAATGTCTTTTGCTGCAACTTGGATGGAACTGGAGGCCGTTATCCTATATGAAGTAACTCAGGAGCAGAAAACCAAAAATTGCATGTTCTCATTTCTAAGTGAGAGCTAAGCTATGGGTAGGCAAAGGCATAGAGAGTGGTATAAGGAATGTTGGAGACTCCAAAGTGGGAGGCTGGGAGGGGGGTAAGGGATTAAAAACATCACTATTTGGGTAATGGATACACCAATAACCCAGACTTCACCACTACATAATTCATCCATGTAAATAAACACCCATATATCTATTGAAAATAAAAAGAGAAGAAAAGGAAGGTTGGATAACTGAAAGAGAAAGAAAGAGAGAAAGAGAGAGAGAGAGAGAAAGAGAGAGAAAGGGGGGGGAGAGAGAGAGAGAGAGAAAGAAAGGGAGAGAGAGAGAGGGAGGGGAGAGAGAGAGCGAGAGAGAGCGAGAGAGAGCGAGAGAGAGCGAGAGAGAGAGAGAGAGAGAGACTACCTCCTGGTGCATCAGCAGGGGGTGACAACTTCTGCCTGGAGCTCACCATGCTTTCCATCTAGAACTTTGTTTTCTTTAAGGTGACCTTACCTTTGGGGCCCAAACCCCAAAGAATATACAAGAAAAAATAACAATACATGCAAGGAACCCACTAGCCTCTGAGAAGGAAAACAAGCAGAACAACTAGATTAAGTGTCATCTAGTGAAAAGAACTGGGGAGGAAGCAAATAATAGCTTGAACTCTTCATTCCTCACTCTTGGTAAAAATATAGGAACACTTACAGATATCTAATTAGACCACAAACAACTTTTTATTCTAAAACTCATTTTTTTTTACTTTTTAAAAATGTTTTTTATAGCACTTTATTATTATCCATAATTATCTTACATATCTATTTGCATATCTATTTTCTTTTATATTAAGTTCTGGGGTTAATATACAAACTGTCTCAGATAAATTGAAGAGAAAACGGCCACAGATGAGGCCAAAATTTGTGGCTTGGAAGGCAATTTTATAGATATTTGGAAAGCATGAAGAAACCATAAAAGCTCTGAAGGACTAATCTAGGAGATCTAATACATAAATAGTAGGCATTTCTGAAAGAAGGAAGTTATATAGAGGAGGAGCCATAATAAACAACAAAAAAACACAAATTCCCCAGAACTTACTAAAGAAGTCATTTTGCAGATTGGCAAGCTCATTGTATCAGGTCATCCCAATATCATTCCTAAACTCCAAGTGTGTAATAACAGTCTTACAATCTTCCAGACAGAAAGTACAAGGTGTTTTCAAAGGAAAAAGTATTGAACTTCTCATACACAATGTGGAAAGAAAAGATTATAGAATGACATCCACAGAACATCTAGAATATAGGCATAAAGGACAGCAACTCTGAGACCCAAAAGTACCACTTGCTGCCAAAATACCACTTCTTTCAAGAGAAGATATATAAAGATTCAGAGGAAATACCATCTAAATACCTGCTTGAGGAAACTCTTCTACAGAAGACTCTAATCAAACAGATGAATCAGGACAGATAAGGAAATCCACCTTAGAAACAGAAGAACTGTAAAGAATCATGACTACTTTACTCAATTACATGCAAATCAATTTGAAAATGTGGATGAAATGGATAATTTTCTCAGAAGAAAGCATTTTTAAAGCCCAAATCAGGAGGCGCAGAAAATCAAAACAGCTTGATTTCATCCCTACAAACAAATACTTAAGAACTGATAATTCTATTGCTACTTAAACAGTTTCAAAGCATAGGCTAAGAATGAAAATTTCTAAAGTATTTTCATAAAGTAAGCAGAACATATTAGCAAATAAAATCCAGCAGTACTTGAAATAATAAAGTATAGTCAATATGGTTTATTCTAAGTTTCAAATTAGAAAATCGAGTGAATATACTTAATTATAATAACAAATCTAAGGAGAAAGAAACCCATGTGTTTATTTATACAGATACCAAAATGGCATTTGCTAACTTTCAACACCAGTTCTATCTTTTAATAAAGCAATATTATTCAATAAATATGAGAAGGTATTTCTTTAACATGGTAAGATATATCTTTCTTGGTCCCAATGCCAGCATCATGTTTAGTGTGGAAACAGAAAAAACATTCCTGCGAAAGGTAAGAAGAAGACTGAGAGTGTCTACTACCATTGTTATTATTTAACATTGTTCTGAAAATACTAACCAAGACATTAGACAACAGAAAGAAAGTTGAGGTACAGAGTTGGAAAGCTGCTGGTTAAACTATCAGGATTTGCAAATTAGGCAATTGCGTATTCAGTACACTCCAAAGAATTAACTGAAGAACTATTACAAACAGTAAGAATTTGGTAGGGTAATGGGGTATAAATTGCTATACAGAAATCGATAACTTTAATATGTAAAACAATATCTTATAACATGTAATAGATGAAAAGGCCCACTTAATAATAGAGACAAAGTTATCCAGTAATTAAACTTGGTCAGAAATATGCAAAACACATATGAAGCAACA